ACTCTGTACACTGTGCTGTACGTTGCATACTCCCCCCCGCACTCTGTACACTGTGCTGTACGTTGCATATTCCGCTCCGCACTCTTTACACTGTGCTGTACGTTGCATACTCCCCCCGCACTCTTTACACTGTGCTGTACGTTGCATACTCCCCTCCGCACTCTGTACACTGTGCTGTACGTTGCATACTCCCCTCCGCACTCTGTACACAGTGCTGTACGTTGCATACTCCCCTCCGCACTCTGTACACTGTGCTGTACGTTGCATACTCCGGGCCCCTACATTTCCCACACTATGTATGTTGCATACTTCGGACCCCCACACTGTCTACACTGTGTTGTATGTTGAATACCTAAGCGCAGGCTTGTACACAAAGGAGCTGATGTATAAAATCCATCCCTCCAGGGAGCATGGGATAGCAGGAAGGGTGGAGCCAGACCAGCGAAACGTTCTTTTGCTGATCTCCTCTAGCTAGAATGAACCTGGAAGCGGCACGCTCTGATCACTTCCGGGTTCAGGACTGTCATTCCCAGAGCTGACATTAGGGTCTAATAACTCCTCAAAGAGAACCTGTCACTGCACTGTGCTCTCACATAAGAGGGGAGCCGGGTGGGCAATGTGTTAGAATACACATTACTGTGTTTATAGCAACAACTCCTGCAGTAGACAATTCCAGTCACTAGATGGCAGTGTTTATAAGTTCTGGTATATATTTATGGTATATACTCTGTTGTATTGAATAAGGTAGAGAATAAAGCTGTGGCTTCCTTCCTGTGTTTTCCAAGCCATGTGCAGCATGCATATCAGACTGTGTGCTTGTGTTTCTCTGTGAGGCTGTGCAAGAAGTTCCAACACGTACCCCTTAACATTTACAGCCAGCAAACAATGCTATGACCTCAACTTTACACCACTCCTCCAACAAATTCCCACTGAATTACAACGCCTTTCTCACTACTACCTTTCAGTGTCTGGCAGGATAGCAGCGCTAAAGATGTTTATTCTTCCTAAAATACTCTAGACTTGTGCGCCGTCAAAAAATTTGTTCTGTTTCGTTTCGGAATATCCGTTATTTCGTATTTCGTAATTCGGAACTGAACTCGATTCGGATTAGTACGAAATACGAATTTTCGTTAGTGGCGGTTATATTTTCGTAACTTTACGAACATTCGTTATGATGAAGTTAAAAAGCAAAATACCTTTGTTAATATTGGAGTGGTAGTTGTTTTTTTTATCCGAAATACGAATTCCGTATTTCTAAACTACCATCAACGCCAATATAAATGTACTTTGCTTTTTAACTTTATTATAACGAATGTTCGTAACGGAACGAAAATACGTCAACGGAATTTCGTATTTCCTGCCTGTATTTGTAATGCAACTCTCAGCAGCAGAAGAGAACCTCGGATCGTTCAACCAAAACGAAATACGAATTCCGTTAACGGATTCCGTATTCCGAATTCCGTATTTCGGACTTAAAAAAAAAAACTACCATCAACTCCAATATAAATGTACTTTGCTTTTTACCTTCAATATAACGAATGTTCGTAACGGAACGAAAATACGTCAACGGAATTTCGTATTTCCTGCCTGTGTGTGTAACTGTGTATTGTAATGCATCAGCAGCAGCGGATCCGTATCTCGGATTAAAAATAAATCTTGTCATGCTGTTCAACCTCATTTACAGGGGGTAATCTTAGTTCCTGTTTCAAAGAAATTCGGATCCGAAATTCGTTAACGGAATTTCGTATTTCGGATATAATTCGGAAACTGCCATTCGGATTTCGGATGCTCCGAAATTCGGAATTTCAGGAAAATTCGTACGAATTTCGATTTGTAACGAAACGAATCGCACATGTCTAAAATACTCTACTTTTTTAGAACTATACCTATTATTCCACCTTCCTTTTTCTTTAAATCCCTTCAACAACATTTATCCCGCTTTATATATGGCAGGGTCGGAAACCCAGATGTGCGGCACATGTTTGCAGGCTGGCCGGAGGCTAGCCTGGATTTGTGGGAGGAGCCTGTGCCTTTAAAGTCGGCACGGCTCACAGGGGATTCACGTCGGCGGGTCACGAACGTCCCCACCCGCCCATTCCCCTTGCTTTCATTCATTTAATTCATTTCATTTACATTCAGGGTATGCCCCCTTTTAGGCATACTGACCTGAGAAGGCCAAGGCACACCACAGGCCATTGGAG